TTTTTCATTAGATAACTGTTATTTTTTGACGAAGTGTCAATGTTCACTTCGTCAAAAAAATCCCTGAAATCATATCTTTTATACAAAATAAATAAAATAAAACTAACTTTATTTTTTCTATCTTAAGGAAATTCATGACAAATTCAAGAGGTAGAAAAAAGTGAAAAAACAGATCGCACCACTTCACCTAAACATTATTTTTGTCTGATTTACGCTCATTACGATGAAGAAGTCTTGACAAAGCATGTACGTTCATGTTTGACAAAACATTTACGAAGAAGTCATGACAAAACATGTACGATGAAATCATGACAAAGCATGTACGATGAAATCATGAAAATTCAAGAGGGTAGAAAAGAGGTTAGATCTAACCTTCTACCCTAAATTATATTTTTGGTCCGGGAACAACTTTCTCTCAATTGGAGCTGTAGCATACTCTTTGCGTAAACGGTTCAGACCTTCTTCGAACTCTTGGTCTCTCTTCGATTTGGATTGAGATTGGAATTGCTGGGGTGGAGCTTGCTGGAACATCCAAGGGTTGGGGAAGTAAGGCATAGGCAGAGGAGGGTAGTTCGGGAAGCCTTGTGGTGGGTAGTAACCTTGAGGTGGAAATTGGTAGTAATTCGGAGGTACTTGCTGGAACTGAGGTGCAGGGGCTGGTGCTTTAGGTTCCTCTGGTTTGGGAATGGACTCGGTTGGTGGTACGTCGGACATTGTTCTGAAACAGTACAAATATTGTTCTGAAACAGTACAAGTATTGTTCTGAAAAAGTACAAGTATTGTTCTGAAGCAGTGCAAGTATTGTTCTGAAAAAGTACAAGTATTGTTCTGAAACAGTACAAGTATTGTTCTGAAAAAGTACAAGTATTGTTCTGAAAAAGTACAAGTATTGTTCTGAAACAGAAAATTTTTCTCACAAATTGAGAGCTTTTACGGGAAATTTGTTCTGAAAAAGGACAAGTATTGTTCTGAAAAAGTACAAGTATTGTTCTGAAACAGTACAAGACTAGTTCTGAAACAGTACAAGTATTGTTCTGAAAAAGTACAAGACTAGTTCTGAAACAGAACAATGGACAACATCGAGCCATTAGATGAGGCAATTTACCTTATAGAGATAAATGAAGTTGTTAAGCAGTACTTGGGCAAGGACAAAGCCAACAAGTCCCTCGGCTGCTGGTTGTCTGGAAGAGGTGCGCTGAAAATCGAAATTGAAACCGGAATTCCAATTCAAATACCAGAAAACACTCCTGTAGACGACATAAAGGAGATGAAGAAAGAAGCTCTTCTCAAGTTCTTTGCAAAGCGCCCATGGATACAACTTCCAAACAGAGAGAGTCCAATTCCACGAATTATACAAATTCTCAGAGCACTGTTCCACTTCTCAGGACGGCCGTTCTTCATAACCTCAGAAGGCGACATCCAACCAGTACTGTAAACCTTAACGTTTAGAGTAAAAACATTTTTTTTTTTTCATTTTTTGAATGAAGCAAGTTAAATTCGTCCCACACCAATCTCAATGGACCGATGAAGAGTTTCAAGCCATCGTTGAAGACGTTGAGAACGACATAGACGGCGAACTTAAAGGAGCTCAAATCACAATTGCAACCAAAATTGCAGAGGTCAAGGAACAGATAGCTCCACTTAAAGCTACCAAAGCTACTCTTGACCTCATGGATAGTTACCGTTTAGATGTCAAGAGTGGAATAAGACAATTAAATTAAAACTTCTAAACTACGAAGCTATACTCCAAAAGTTAGCAGAAATGAGAAGACTTTACCAGAGCTACTTACATGTAAGGGACTTACCTTTAAGCAGTCCGACCAAAGATGAATTTGTTGACATTGTCCCAATTTTGTCCGAAAGTCAGCTCAGATGTTTCGAACTGCTCCCAACATATCCGGAATATGAACGTTTGCCTGAACTCTTTCGGTTCCTCAAAAAACGTTTTTTTGGTTCTCATGTTCGAAACTTTTATCGGAAGAGACAACAAACGTTCAGAAGAAGAACAAGATATTATTTTAAACTTGTTGTATGACATAACTGTCATAACAAGCTTTTTGAAGTAAAACCGCCATTCTCAAACCACTTCATTTTTTCGATGTCCGAACAAGCACCGAAGCCAAACTCAATGGCAGATGTCCTTTCAAGGTTGCCAGACAAGCGCCCAGTTCAACTTCAAATTGCCCAATTGAACGCTCATCTGTCAAACACCATTAAGACTCTCCAAAGTAGTCTTATGGAAGAGATAACCAATCTCAAAGTCGAAGTCCTCACGAACCAAGCTTCCAATAAGAAAGTCCTGAACGATTTCGCGGAAACCTTGCGCCAATACAACATAGAGAACCAAAACCTTGCCCGACTCATCTACCGTTTCTTCGAAGAGATAGACGCCATCTGGAAGGTACTCGGAAAGGACAGAACATGCAACACCGTACTTCGTGAACACAGAATTGCCGAAGGTATTATCAAAGAAGAGGAAGAAGAGGAAGAAGAGGAAGAAGAGAAACACGAAGAAGAGGAAGTTTGGGCAACCCTTGTTGCCGATGACGCTTACGAAATTTCCCAACCCTACCCATACAAAATCCGCAACAAGGCGACAGGCAAGGTTCTTACCCCAGTCCTCAACAACTTGGGACACTTGAACCTTAACCTTCGGAATTACGGTTCAGTTTCCATGGGAAGGCTTGTCGGCATGCAATGGGTTCCAAATCCAGACAAGAAGTCGAGGGTCAGACACATTGACGGTGACAAGCTCAACAACCGTAAGGAGAACCTCGAGTGGTTCTAAGAGTAAAAAATTTTTATTTTAGGGGGAAACCCCAAGTAAATTTAGGTGTTTATTTGGATAAGTATGTTAAATTAAGGGTAATTTGCAAAATTAGTTCCCGACCTTTGAATTGGGCTCTTTCGTTATCCCAGTTGCGTAGGAGGTCGTCCCAGAGGAGTTGGTAGAATTGCCAATCCAAGGACGATTTGTCCTCCCAGGCATTGAGGATGTACTGCTCGTAGAGTTTCATGACCTCTGCCTTGCACCAGACACCCTCTCCCTTGGAACGTAAGGCTTCTTCGAAGTGCTCGAATGCGATTGGCTGCGTGACCATCCGAAATGACACTTTTTGTCCGTTTTGGTCAATGTTCGTGTCTCGTGCCGTAGTCGACGAAAATACAGACAAACAGGTTTATATGAGTTTGAGACCAAGAATGGTGTAACTCGACCTGTCCGATTCAAAGACTCCGAGGGCGACCATGAAATTAAACGGAAATTAGCTAGGAAGGAATATAAAAATTTTTTATTTCATGCAATGTTTTATTTCTGTGCCGTCTTCAAGTATGCCCAGTACTTACGCTTGGAGAGGACATGAACTTCGGTGAAAATTTTGTCCAATTTGAATTGACCCATCTTCTCACCGACTAAACCCATTTCAATGAGTTTGTTGTACCCTTCTTCGTTCGTCATGAGTGCGTCAATGTTCTCATAGTAAACCACAACTTTCGATTTGACTTCGGAGAAGAATTTGTTGTAGTTGTCAAGGACTGCCTTTGCGAACTGAGGGTAAGACCAATGTTCGACAATAGGTTTTTAATGTGGTTACTAAGCCACTTTGACCTTGAGTGAATTCGTACTTCAAAACAAAAGGAGAAAACCTTTCAACAAAGTTGTCGACCTTCTCATAATGTTTACTCTTCATCTCTTGAGGTTTCTTAATGGAATATCCCCATGTCGAATTCATAAGCAATTTGAGTGTCATTGCAAGTTTGGGGTTTGAAGCTTTCCTAATATCATACAGTTGTTGTATGACTTTTCCAACTGTATAGTTCCTTCCCGGGAACTCACCATCTTCGTTTGGAATTCCAGTCGGAATATATTGGACAAACCTCATGTACGCAGCGTTAAGGTCGACATAGTATATCTTTTCATCTGAGTCGAACTTGTCGCAACCAATTGGTCCAGTTTGTGGAAATTCAAGTGAGTCTCTTATCTTCTGAGAAACTTCTCCTGTTATCTCATAAACATCGTCGAAGCAACCTGTTTCATATAAAACCTTCTGACCTAACTCAGATGCTCTCCAATACAATTTGACGTCAATTGGATGTCTCAATGGAAGTTTGTTTATAGCATCTTGAAGTTCTTGCAACCTCATTGGAAGTTCTTCTGGTTCAGGTTGGTATCCGAACAATCCAACTCCTTGTGGAATTGTGTACTTCTTTTGTACTAGAACTTTGTCTGGAACAACTTTTGGTCTTGCTAACAGTGAAAAGTTTTGTTTCGTCTTTTGGTACAAAAGTTTCTGTCAGCTTGTCATCTGGAATTGGTTCCAACAAACCTTTCTCGAAAAGAATGTTTACAGCTCTGACAATGTTGCACTTGCCTTTTCCGAACAATGGGTTTGTAAGACTTTCGTTCAACATGAAGTGGTTGTGGACAATTACAATCTTCAACCATGGTAAGTCTTTGTCAACAACATAGTCGTCATGTGAAGAACCTTTAGCTGTAGGTATGCTGACTCGGATATTGACATTTGCCAACGGTGCAATTTTTGCCAATTGACCTCTGAGAATGTACCTTGTCTTCACACATGACTCAAGATACTTCATCTTCTCATCTGTAACAAGACCAGAGTTCCTGAGACATGTAAGAATGCAAGGTTCGTTGACAATTGTTTCAATTGAATTGTAAATTCCATACCTTGTCAAGTCAATGTCAGACTTATTTATGAACGGGAAGTATCCAGCATGTTGTCTGACTGCTTGAGGGTTAGGTTGGTACCATTCGAACTTGACACTTGCAATTCCTTCAATTGCATTCAAAATGTCTGAGTCGGAGTCAACCATTTGTTCTCTCTTTGTAGTCTTGAAAGCGTCAAGAAGCATTGCAGCTGTTGTGACATTGCCATGTGCATAGTAAATGTGACCATCCAAATCTGTTATGGTCAATCATCTGAGAATTGTATCCTTTCTTATTTCCATCTTGAATTGCAGCAAGTACTCCCATGAAGCCTTCTTTGTTCTTTCCTTCGTCAAAGTTTACTGTAAAGGTTCGACCAGATGTAATTTGACTTCTAACTTCACGGTACTTCTCATATGCATATCTTGTTCTTTCCATGGGAGCATGACCATCCTCTGCACTACCTTTTTTCCTTCTCAAAGGATGCAATTGTTCGTCATGTTTCCAGTAGAATCTGGCAAAGCCGTCGTGTCCTTCAACTTGAGGTTCACTAACATCGAAAGGCATGTCCATAAGACGTTCTTCTTCTAACCTCTCTAGTCTGTTTGGATAATTGGCACGTGCTGTTTCCAAATCCATTTCGTAGCGAAGACCAGACAATTTGTCATAGACTTTTATGGGTCTTCCCTTCCTATATTTAAAATTCTTCGAAACTCTCCAACCATATCTTTGCAACTCTGCTTTTATTCTAGCAGATTTTCTATCCATTCTATATGGGGGCATTTTTATAAAAATAAAAAAATATTTTTTTCTTTACTTTACATAACCGCCTGCTGCCATAAGTCTTTGACGCCAACCCATACCAGCTAATGAAGGTTGACTTGGTTTAGTTTCCAAACTAAACTTTGGTTTTGGTTTATCTTCAGTTTTTGGTTTTTCTTCTTCTATCGGTTTTTTGTCACTTTTCGGTTCCTCTGACTTTACTTCACTTGCAGGAACAGTTGTGTCGTCAACATCTTCATAAATATCATATGCCATTTGTTTTTGTTTTCCTTTCAACTTTTTGTGTTTGTTGTAAAGTTTAGAATATTTCGACTCTAAGTCAATGAGATGTTCTATAATGAACTGTTGGTCAGTGAAGTAAACTTTTCCATCTGTTGTCTCGAAAGCTCCTTCAGACTTCAATATTTTATTTGTGAGAGTCTGTTTCTTTTTTGAGATACTTGCCGTTCCATTTTTATGAAAAGTGACTTTGTAGTTAGGGTTTGTATTTCCAGACCTGGCACTTTCTATTATTGAATTTTTCTCTTCATCTGTAAGTTCTTTGACAGGTTTTGACAATGGTTCTGAACTTTTTGTTTGTGGTGTCAAATCTACCGTTTCAACTTCTTCGGTCATTTCATCTCAGTAAAAAATTTTAGTTTGGTTTGTTTTCAACTGGTTGTTGTTGTTTTTTAAGTCGGTCTAAAACTTCCTGAGGTATAGGAAGAACTTGACAAACACGTTGTGTAACTGCTGGAAGCCGACAAATCCATCTTGAACCCATTTGTCTCAATGCTGTATTGTTCATTTCATCTCAGTAAAAAACTTTACATTCCCCACGTTTGAGGCGGTTGAGGTTGGTTATTGTTTACCCATTGTTGTGCATGGTTATATCCTCTGTTAAAGAATCTTTCACCTTGGTCCATATAGTGTCCTGCTTGGTTATAGTAGTCATTTGCTTTGTTATAATAGTTTCCTGCTTGTCTTCCTACATTGTCCATCCATCCTTGAACTTTTCCTCTTGTTTCAGGATTTGGAATAAGATTTGTTGCATCTCGTGCTACATCCCAACCTTTCTGTACAGTTTGTATAATAGGTTGTGCTTTCTCTTTAAGTATACCTAATGTACTCAAAATCTTCCTTCCAACTCCAAATACACCTCTGGCTATTGTTCCCACTGCGGGCAAAAATCTGGATGCAACTCCTGCTAATGCGCCAAATAAACCCATTTCTTATAGGATAAAAATGACGAATCCAAACAAGGACCCCTATGTTTCTAAAGCGACAAAGAAAGCACTCATGATAAAAATCTTTAGTTCAACACCAAATGCTTGGTTTATGGATATCTTGGAAAACATTCCGAGGTATAGAGAAGATGGACCACCATACTGGCTAATATTTGTCGGTCAAAACACAAGATACTGTGAAGCCATACCATTATGGTCCAAAAATATTTTAGATGTGAAAACTGCTTTGACAATATTCGTTGACAAATACCATCCAACAAAACTGACATCTGACTGTGAAAGTTCTTTCAAATCAGATGATGTAAAAAATATCTGCGTTCAAAAAATGTAAACCAATATTTCATTGTCGACCAAAACCATTCTGCTCTTGGTGTCATTGACGGTTGTATAAAAATGTTAAGAGACTTAAACCAACCACAAGGTGGTGAAGCAAATGAAATGTCATATGACGACAAATATAGACACTTCTCCATGGCAAAGATGAGACAAGTTTTAAATATTTACAATAGCCGTAAACAAAAAGGTTTGGGAAACCACTCCCCCGAAGAAATGAAAAACAACCCTGACTTAGAGAAAGACTATATATTTAATAATTTAGTCAAAAGAGACAAACAAGAAAGAATGCCGGGCTTCAAACTTCAGAAAGGTGACAAAGTAAAAATAGAAATACCTAAACGCGACCCATATGAAAATACTATTGACTATGACAACAATGGGAACCCGACAGGTACTCACATTCGTGTTCGTAAAAATAGAAGAAAGTATACAAGAGAATATTATGAAGTTTTAGGCAAACATGGCAAAATGTACAGACTGCAAGCAGAAGATAAAACTACTATTGTCAGACCTCGTTTCAAACTTGTCAAAGTTCAAGGTGGTATACTTTCAAAGACAGTTCCTAACAAATATAAGACAACTCCTGACGAATATGCTAAAGAAGTTGAAAATGACGACTAAGCAATTCTATACCATGCGTAAACTGTCATGTAAGGTGGCATGTAGTTTTACCCAAGCCTGTTGGATTTGTTGTGAAAGTATGGACATGATTTCCTCCTGGTTCAGTTGGTCGAAAAGTCTTTTTTGCTGAATGGTTATAATCTGGAGATAAAACGTCATTGCCAGCATAATATTCTGAGTTGTATAATGGGTGGTCTCTTAATGAGTGGCTATGGTCGCCAGAAAAGTTTGTAGTTCCTGTATGAGTGTGCGGTGGAAGGTTTGCTTCTTTAATTTTCTTCGAACCACCTGTTTCCTTTGAAGAGTTTGCACAATACAAAAACCTGTCGACTATTTGTTCCCATGCACCAACACCAAACATTACTTGAGGACCTCTTGCTTCCATAGATGTATAAATAGAACCTACTGGGTTCATTAAATCAAACATATGAGACATTATAGGATTGTCTCTTTTGAACTTAAAATATAGTGCAACTATTTCAGGTTTCTTCTGGTTTGTGTAAGAATATTTTTTATAATATAATCTTATGTTTTCAGGGTAGGTAAAATCTTGACTATAATATTTATTTCTGTCATCTGTATTATATATAATAATATACTATTCTCGTTTTTTCTATTGCATTATATCTTTTATATCTATAATAATCTAAATATAATGTTTGCTTTTGTTCATCTGCATGTAGTGTTCCTTCGTCATCTACATAGTCATAATAATATGGTGCTGGAGCTGGGTCAGGCAATGTCATATCTGCCATTTCATAAACTCGGAAATATTTCTTTTGTTCGTCTCCATATAAGTTTAAGTAGCAGTTGTTGTCTAATGGAACTTTAACTTGTGTACCATCATTCTTTATATAGCTTACATACATTTCATTGTTATTTTTCGGAATGAGTTTATACCGTATACCATTTTTTAAGGAATGTACAAACTGCCATCTAAAATATTTATTTTCTTCATTGAAAGAAAAGTCACCAACAATAGTTTCAATATTTTTTGTTGTTCCTATCAAACTTTGGTATATTTCATTGACATATGTTTTATTTGCTTTCTTCTCTAACTCATCGTTAACATAAGTTTTATCTGTTTTAAGGTCTAAACATCCTGAAACCCATCCTGTATCGGCTTTAGTTTTTAAAATCTTCGATGTCCATCCATGATACCATTCAACCCTTTCTATAATTTCATTATCTTTTTCATCCACATATTCCTTATCTGCTTTCTTCTCTAACGCACTAGCCACACAATCCTTATCCGCTTTCTTTTCAAGGCTAACGTTTAAGTCTGTTATTTCAGATATAGAATGTGTATGAGTCTTTTTAGAATATTCGTTTTCAGCTCTTGTCACTTCACTTGACATTTTATTGTCAACATATGTTTTGTCTGCTAGTTCAGGATGAGTATGTTCTTTTGTTGCATAAGCATTGTTAGCTCTTTCTTCTTCTTTTGCTATTGCATCGTCTACATATTCTTTGTCAGCTTTGTTGTCAACATCTGCTTTCAAAAGAAGTTCATTTATAGGTTTCTCGTTTAAAGTTCCTTTTGTTGGATTTATACAGACAGTATGGTTCTTATTGTCTTGAAACAGAAACTCATCTGTCATTGGGTTTATTGTCAGTTTTAAGTTTCCTTCTTTCAATGACTCAGATATCTTAGAATAGTTTGAAAAGTTTGTTGTGTTCTTATTTAGAGCTTGCATAATGAGTTGTCGGTTGTGTTGTATTTCTCTCATGGAAGCAATATCTTTCGACATTTTTATTCTAGATAAAATATGCTTCCAATAGAAAAAGAAAATTCAAGAGTTGCTACAACTAAACCATTAGATGAACTTTTTACTAATGTCGGTCAAAAGTTTGAGACAGAGACGTAAAGCATGAAGGCTATCGTTTTGACTACCCATTAAGATGGCTAAGAGACCCATCCGTCACAAAAGCTATTGGCTTTCGTAGAATGAAGTTCATTTCAGAAGCCATACATGGTTTCCCATTTACGGTCGGTTTTGAAGTTCGATACTATAACAAAGAAAAACGTATGTATGAGAAATTTGAACAGGGAAAACTTTTACAAGTTAGTTTGCTTGTAAACTTAGAAACAACTCTTCAAGCTTTTCAAGAAAAAATAAACGATATCTATATCGAATATGCAAAACAGTATAACATTGACGAGGAGAATACCATCTCGATATTATTTATGACAGGAAAAATGCAACTGTTAAAATCAATAGAAATAGAACCTTGGAGAAAACGTTTATATTTCTACAAAATATAACAACTTGGCATGGTATAGATTTTGAGGATGTTAAATCAGCCTGCAGCATATCCAGTACACCCAGACTTTTATGAAGTCGAAAACCCTAATGGAACATATGAAATATTTTCGACCCAGATGCTATTATTGTTCATGCTTCATTTTCTGGCGCCCAAAACTCTTTCTTATGCTTAGCAAATGACTTTTACGAAAAACCTACAAAGTTATACGAACCACCAAGTGGAAGTATTTCAGACTTTCAAGTATGGTTTACTACAGATGGAAGAAAAAGAATAATTCCATTATACCATGTGTTTTACTTAGAACTTAGTTTCATATACAAACTACTATCGAACGGTAAAAATATAATTTTTTAATACGGTTGAGGTGTTGGATTTGGTTGCCAACTAGACTGTGGTGCAGGTTCAGGCTGTTGTATAACAGGAGCTTGCTCTTCTGGTTCAGAGTCTTTAGGTATAATACCAACAAACTGACCTACCTTTTACCAATATTTTTTGACACCGTTCCAAATTCCTCTTCCTACGGTTTTTATTCCATTCCATATACCTCTTCCAACATTTCGAAAGAAGTTTCCTATCTTACTGAAGAAACCCATTTTACTATATGTAAAAATCTAATGTCCGCCTAGTCTCTTACGTTTCCTGTTGAGTTCCATAGCATTCTTTAACTGGAGCTCATACATTCTGTTTCTCCTCTGGTAGAAAACATATTCTGGGTCAACTCCTGTGTTCGCGTCATCTGCATAAAGTTGTTTATATCCCACTTCAGGGTTTGTATAAAACTCTTTCCATCTCATATTTGCATACCATGGTGGCAAACCTAACGCAGCGTCATTTGACATGGCAGTTTGCATTTGTACATCTGTTGGCACTTGACCATAGTTTGCCATTGCAGTTTGTATTCTAACTTCATTTGGAATATTCTCTGGTTTGGTTGTCCAGGTTGCTGTGCATTCGCTAAGTTCTGTGCGTCCATTTAATATTAGATAAAATATCTCTTACGAGTACATATACTGAACATTTGCAGGCATTGGTTCATCTTCATTTCTCTGTACTTTTCTGCCACGTCAATAAATAAATGACACAATGGAAAAAACCTAAAACTAACAATCCGATTTCAAACCACATTTACTTACTAATAAAATTTCTTTATTATGACACTTTCTCCGGTTTATAGGACCTCTCTCATATTCTATCTTGTCATATCTAAACTCATAGTCATGTATGTCCTCTAACCATCTCATAACGGTTTCCAAACCACTTTTATCGGATGTAAAGTAAAAGCATGGATGGTTATGTAAAACGTCTAAAGTTTTAAAGAGTCTCTCAAAGTCCAGTCTACTTGGTATTGAAATCCCATGTGTTATAGAACGGTGGGTCCACTATAAAGAAAACATTTTCCTTGTCTTTATATTTTTCATACAACTCTGTCCAATGACATCTCACAAACTCTATACCCTCAATATATTTTTCTATGTCCTTTTTGAAAACATTTGTATAGTTAAGATATAAAACTTTTGACATAAGTGTTTCAATGTCATGAACTCTTATAGAACCACTATATAATAGTCTAGCAGATATACTATCCCAGTCTATATATTCTGCTTTTTTCAAAACCTCTCTCACAATATTTTTCTTATCTAATGGTATACGTTCCATCTTACCTATAGGTATCTTTTCTTTTAACTCTTTCAATATATTGTTTGTGTCTGGTATATGTTTGAGACGGTCCATATAGTTGTCGAAGTCATTGCATATAATCTTTGAGTCTGGGAATATTGTATGGCACAAATGGGATATATAGAAACTTCCACCGAACAAATCTACAAATGTTAGACCATTCGGTAGTTTCTTAAGTTCTCTCAATATAATATCTTTACATTTACTCTTATTTCCAAAGAACGGTAACGGAGGTTTTGTAAAATTCATTTATATATAATAATAAAAATGTTTTTCCCTGAAAAGTGACAGAAAAGTGACAAAGCATGAAAACATATATAATTTGTGAAAAGTGAAACATTATATAATGTTTTCGACCCAGAAGAAGGCTTCTTCCCAGAAGCAATGGAGGAAGAAGAAGAGTCCTCCGAATTCACACCAGAAGACTAACAATTTTCCGAATAAAAACTTCATTTATACTAAACATCTTCGGGGCTAGAGGGCACGAAGTGCCTGGAAGCCCCACTACCTTTTTTTTGTTTTTTTTTTAACAGGGGTGAGACCAAATTTTTAAACAGCCATGATACGACTCATTAAAAATTTTGACAAAGGAAGTAGTTTTCTGAAGTTTACATTTCTTTTAGGAAGAGACAGTATTTGATCTTTCTCAATCTGCTGGTGATGTTTGGGAACTTTTTTATGGAACATCAACATCACCAAAACCAATCACTGGGAAGAATGTTCAAGCAACATCAACAGAAAACGAGTGTTTCATTTTTAACAGTATCTTCATTGAAATTACGACCAATAGTGCCATTTATTTTACGAATACAAGCAATAAATTTCTTAACTCATATTGTTCATTTACTAACTGCAGCAGTAATACAAATGGTGGATCTATCTACTTTAAATGTAATAGTTCCATTGTCCAATACCGAACATGTGGCTACAAATCAAAAACAAACTCTGATAGAGGACATCATTCATTTGTTGAATTAGTTTATAATTCAAATAATAAAAATTATCTTTATGAAAGTTCTTTTTATTTATGCGGAAATTTAGAAAAATATAGAACAAATTATCTTTATTATGGAAATATTGAAGTTAAATCAATCAACACAAGTTTCTGTGAAGCAAACTTTGACTCAGGAATACTTCTATATGAACCAACAAGTCTAAGTAATGTAACATATTCATCATTTTGTAACACAACATCAAATTATGTAATTTTAGCATTTTATTTATTACATCCATGGTTTGATTTTGATTATGGTAACTATAATTTTAATTTTTGTAACGTTTTGAATAATGAACAAAAAGCATATAGTTATGGAGCATTCTATGTCCGAGGTTCAACTGTTCTTATTGAAAACTGTTCATTTCTTGGAAACACAGGACCAGGAAAAGAATTTTATCAAAATACTGGTGGTTCAATTACTGTTAAAAATTCTTTCTGTGACAGAATAGATAAAACATATGGATCAGTTACAACAAATAACGTTAAAAATATATATTCTATTCATCATCTTTCTCACTTTTCATCATATCTGTGTGAAGCAGAGTTTCCTATTTTAGATTTAGTGATAAAGGAGAATATTTTCACATATGATGAAATTGTTTATCATTATTCATATCATTTCATTACTTCTCTTTGTATTTCTTTAGTAGATAAATAAAATACATATTGTTCTCCCTATATCTCGATTTTTTGGTGCTGGTTTCAAGTAGAAATAATGGCTAAATGACTTGTGAGTTAGAAATATTTCTTATTTATTAAATTTATTCTTAGTACTTTAAGACAGATACACCAACGAACTCGAGAATTTGCAAGATGTGCGGAACTTCTTCAAGAGGAATTGCGTAGAACAAGTTGAGAATACTGATGTGTCGCTTAGCATCTTGTGTGACTTCAGAGGTGAGTGAATTGCGAATATCCTAATGCAAATATGGAATTGTGGCATCAGAGAGTAAAGTGAGGCAGTAGATAGAAAGAACTGGAAGTTCGTAAAACAATGAAGAGTTAAAGAGCATTTCGGCATTGCATTGTATGGGAAGATATTCTTCTCTTCACCAACTTGGACAGATTTGCATCGGTGGATTGTTGTACGAGCAGAAAAGCAGCGGTACTTGTGGTCTATAATGATGCAGAGGATGAGACGAAGATTTGATGTTGGGAAGTGGTGGCCGTGGTCGATAACAAGTGGAGTAGTGTGGATTGGAGTAACACGTGAAAGCTTGCGCTGATTAAAACCTTCGCAAACCCACTTCAAACCATAAGCATTGCGCTCGAAGATGGCTTCTTAAGCATTGGAACTGAATCGACTCCTAAAAGCTTGTTATTGTGGGAGAAGGCATTCTGTATTATAAATAAAAACACCAATACATTATTACTATATGTTCTAACATGATTATTAAAAAGATATTGAATAAATTATTGGCAAAAAAACTCAAAAATAGAAGGAAATATGCAATTAATGAGCTGTGAAATCCATTTAAAAGTGTTTCTCAATGTTATAGAATAAGAAGAGTTATTTAAAAAATATATTACAGAAAAATGATGGTTTATTAGAGCAAACATTAAATATTGTATCAGTAACAATGATTTCAAGAGAAAATTATTCAAAATTTAGCAAGGATTATAACAATTATCTTCGCTTGTAGAGTAGATTTCACCATTAAAGTTTGCTGTTTCAACTGCTTTCTTAACTTCTTCTGCGGAGTATATGTGTGAGAAATGTTGAATAATTTGTTCTTCTGGAGTTCCGCAATCTGAATTGTTCTCTTTGAGGAATTCAATGACATCATTCTTAATCTTTTCATCTCTGTC